TGCAGGGCGTCCAGCTTCTCCTCCTCCTCTTCCTCCCGCAGGACGCCCAGGATGTAGGCGCCGTACACGGCCCGGTCGACCCCCAGAGCCTCCAGCCGTGCGTCCAGCCAGGACCCGAAGCTGCCGCCCTCGCCTTCGCCCTCGCCCTCGCCCTCGCCGTCGCCGGAGGCCGCCTCGGCCACTTCGCTGGGCGCCGCCATCTTGGGGCCGGGGGCCTACCGATCCCCGGGTCGTCCGCCGCAGTGCCTGACGGGCCGCGGCGCGGGCCTACGGCGCATGCGCCGAGCCCGGACCGTCCCGTTTCTGCGCGCCGAGCCGGGAGCCCGGGCGACCTGCGGTGACTCCCTGGCGCGTTGTGTAAACTCGAAACGCCGCGCGTGTTGGCGTGCGCGCGGTCGCGGGACCTCACGGGAGCCTAATTAGGTGCGTATTTTCTTTTGGGGGGGGCGGAGACAGGGTCTCTCCGTGTTGCCCAGGCTAGTCTCAAATTCCCGGCCTTCGGCGATCCTCCCGAAATGCTGGCCTCCCAAAGTGCCGGGCTGACAGGCATGAGCCACCACGCCCGGCCTAGGCGAGTATTCTTCACGGACTCTTTTTTTTCTTTTTCTTTTTGAGTTGGCATCTCGCTCTGTTGCCAGACTGGAGGGCAGTGGCACGCTCACGGGCCACCGCAGCCTCGTCCTGCTGGGCTCAGGCGATCTCCCGCCTCAGCCTCCCGAGTAACAGGCGTGCACTACCACGCCCGGCTAGTTTTTTGATTTACTGTAGGGACGAGGTCTCGCCAAGTTGCCCAGGCTGGTCTTGAACCCCTGGGCTCAGGCGATCCTCTTGCCTCCGCCCCTCAAAGTGCTGGGATGATAGGCGTGAGCCACCGCACCCAGCCCTCTTCACGGGTTCTCTTCACAGTTGGGGAAGTTGAAAGAGGTTCAGTCACTTGGCCAGAATCACGCGGCTAATACCTAAACAGGGTTGGAACTCTGATTCCTGCTGGTCTGTGCACCTGACCGGGGATGCACAGCCGTCAGGCAGGAGCCTCCCAACTCCATCCGGAACACCAGCAGCCGCTACCCTGACTACTACCATCCTCGCCTCCCTAGGCAAAACCCCACGCTCCAGAAACCCCCCTGGTCTCTTGCTTCTCTGCATTGACCCTACTGTACTTATCGTGGTCTGGGCATACAGTAGGCGATCAATAAATGAACGGGCGACCTTAAACCATTTGTGCTGCGCACTCATTGATCAACGCTTGCCTAGGACGGCCCTGGAGAAGCCTGCCAGGCCCTGTGTGCTAAAGGCTTTCCAGGCGTTGTCTCTTGTAATCCCCCCTAGACCCCCAGACGCTCTGACCGTCCACACTGTGAAGTCAAGGAAACAGGGAGTCACACATCTAGGGAGGCAGCCTAACCAGAGGCCCAACTCGGAGCTGCCTGAGTCAGCTGACTGCCAAGCACCCGTGGGCTGGGGTGAATTACCCAAGGACTTGGGCCAGCTCCACCTGGAGTGCAGGAGCCTGGCAGGGCCCAGGCCCACTGTCCTTCACCAGTTGGTTACTGGGCACCTACAGTGGCCTTGTCGCAGGCACCGAAGATACCAAAATGTATGTCACACAGTCTCTGTTCTCAAGGGGTCTTCAGTCCAGTGGGAACAGACGTGTTTAAACAGATCATGCAGGCACTGTGGCTCACGCTTGTCATCCCAGCACTTTGGGAGGCCGAGGCGAGAGGATTGCCTGAGCCTGCGGGCCCGGGATCAGCCTGGGCAACTTGGCAAGACCTCGTCTCTACAATTAATCAAAAAATTAGCCAGCGTGGTAGTGCGTGTCTGTGGTTCCGGCTACTTGGAAGGCTGAGGAGGAAGAATTACCTGAACCCAGCAGGTGAAGGCTGCGGTGGCCTTGAGCGTGCCACTGCACTCCAGCCTGGGTGACAGAGTGAGACCCCCCCCAACTCAAAAAAACAAAATTATTTGAGTGGACAAATAATAAACAGAATGCTTATAGAAAAAAATTTGAAGGCCAGGCTCGGTGGCTCAGTCTGTAATCCCAGCACTTTGGGAGGCTGAGGCAAGTGGATTGCCTGAGCCTTCAGGTTCGAGACGTACCTGGGCAACTTGGCAAGAACTCATCTCTACAATAAATAAAAAATTAGCCAGGCGTGGTGGTGCGTGCCTTTAGTTCTGGCTGCTTGGAAGGCTGAGGCGGAAGGGTCACCAGAGCCCAGCAGGTCGATGCTGGGGTGGCTGTGAGCATGCCACTGCACTCCAGCCTGGGCGACGGAGTGCACCTCCAACTCAAAAGGAAAAAGTAGATCATATGCTGTGTTGGCCTGTGATTGGGTAACAGGCACTAGAGAATGTTGGAGCGGGAATGAAATCAATGTGATCCTGTTGGCAGGCTGTGTGAAAAGCCCCAGCATTTCTGCTTCTGGGAATTTATTCTAATATATACACGTGTGCATTATTTAAAAGGATATTCGTTGCAGTGAAGTTTTTTGCAGTAAGAGGACAGAAATAGTCTACATTTTGTGTATATAAGACTGGCTCAAGAAAGTCTGATGTGGCCACACAAAGGAGTATTGTGCAGCTGTAAAAATGAGCAAGGAAGCTCTTTATGTATTGACATTTTTCAAAATCAAGACATGTTGTTCAAGAAAAAAGTGGAGCTTAGAATAGTGTGTAATGTTTGTTACCACTTATGATTAAAAAGAAGTGGGCGCAGGGCGTGATGCCTCACGCCTGTAATCCCAGCAATTTGGGAGGCCAAGGTGGGAGGATTGCTTAAGTCCAAGAGTTTGAGGCCAGCCAAGGCAATGCAGCAAGACCTTGACAAAACATAAAAAAGTTAGCCAGGTATGATGGTACGTGCCTGCAGTCCCAGTGACTTGAGAGGCTGAGGTGGAAGGATCACCTAAGCCTCGGAGGTCGAGACTGCGGTGAGCAGTGATCATGTCACTGCATTCCAGCCTGGGTGACAGAGTGAGACTCTGACTTTAAAAAAAAAAAAAGAAGCCAGACTCGGTGGCTCAGCCTGTAATCCTGCGCCTTGGGAGGCTGAGGTGAGTGGATTGTCTGAGCCTGCGGGTTCGAGACCCACCTGGGCAACTTGGCAAGACCTCATCTCTACAATAAATCAAAAATCAACCGGGTGTGGTAGTGCGCGCCTATAGTTCCAGCTACTTGGAAGGCTGAGGCGGAAGGATCGCCAGAGCCCAGCAGTCGAGGCTGTGGTGGCCAGGAGCGGCCATTGCACTCCCATCTGGGCGACAGAGTGAGACTCCAACTCAAAAAAAAAAGGGGCTGGGTACAGTGGCTCACGCCTATAATCCCAGCACTTTGGGAGTCTGAGGAGAGAGGATTGCCTGAGCCCACGGGTTCAAGACCATCCTGGGCAACTTGGTGAGACCTCGTCTCTACAGAAATATCAAAAAATTACTGGGTGTTGTGGTTCACACCTGTAGTCCTAGCTACTCAGGAGACTGAGGCGGAGGGATGGCCTGAGCCCAGGAGGTTGAGGCTGCAGTGAGCCATGATTGTGCCACTGCGCTCCAGCCTGAACATCAGAGTGAAACTCCAACTCAAAAGAAAAAAAATCCTTGTAAAAATAATATGAGAATGCGTCGTTACTCCTCTCCATATTTATTTATTTATTTATTCGTATTTTAACTCTTGTAAAATATGAACTTTGCCATCTTTCTTTTTTTTTTTTGATCTTTTGCATTTCTTCAGGGTCAGATATGACTTCATCTTTTGCTTTTTTTTTTTTTTTTAGAATCAGAGTCTCACTCTGTCGCCCAGGCTGGAGTGCAGTGGCACACTCACGACCACTGTAGTCTCGACCTGCTGGACTCAGGCAATCCTTCCACCTCAGCCTTCCAAGTAGCTGAAACTACAGGCGCGCACTACCATGCCCGGCTAATTTTTTAATTTATTGTAGAGATGACGTCTCCCCATGTTTCCCAAGCTAGTCTTGAACCCCGGGGCTCAGGCAATCCTCTGTCCTCTACCTCCCAAAGTGCTGAGATTACAGGCATGAGCCACCACACCTGGATGCCATTTTTTTTTTTTAAGAGATGGGGTCTCACTCTGTCATCCAGGTACAATCATAGCTCACTGCCGCCTCAACCTCCTAGGCTCAAGCAATCAATTCTCCTGCCTCAGTTGGTAGCTGGGACTATAGGTGAGTGCCACCACGCACAGCTAACTTATTTTATTTTTTATAGAGACAAGGTCTTACTATGTTGCCCAGGCTAAAATTTACCATCTTAACCCTTTTCAAGTGTACAGCTTAGTGTTAAGTATTCACTACTTTTATTATTATTTTTTTTTTGGTTTAACCTTTTGTATGACAGGTATTCCAAGTTCTGGTTTTTAAGTTCTGTTTATTTCAATCCTTGGTTTTCATGACTGTTGTGACTGCAGGAGATTCTTCATTGAATCAAGATATGAATGGGGCTGGATGGTGGATACTCGTGATTATTATAACAATCTGCTACTTTCATGAATATCCATCATTTAAAAAAATCTGCATCATTGCACTTAGCAAAACCAGTCATTTAAATATTCCACCATCCAAGGCTTTTCTTGAAACTGGGTTAATGAATTTCTTCCTTCCCTGATGTTTATCCATTGTTCTTGCAAACTAATCAGAAAGTATTGCATTTGTTTTTTGGGTTTTTTTTGAGTCAGAGTCTCACTCCATCGCCCAGGCTGGAGTGCAGTGGCATACTCATGGCCACCCCGGCATCGACCTGCTGGGTTCCGGCGAGCATTCCGCCTCAGCCTTCCGAGTAGCTGGAACAAAGGTATTGCATTTTTAAACTTTTGAACAAAGGGTTCAGAACCCATTAAGACACTTATTTGGAAAATTGTTAAATGGATTAGGAAATTCTGTTTTTTGTTTTTTTTTTTTTATATTCCATGTCACAATTTGCTTTATTTTCCTTCACAAGGATAAAACATTTATGAGTAAGAATCATCCTAATACAAACATTTCAAAACCAGAAAAGCCCAACTATAACTTTTAGTTCCTAAAATCTGCTTATTAGAAGAACATCACAAAAGTGTAAAATATTAGCAATTATTTGAAGGACACTTCTCTAAAAGTGAAGATAAAACAGACAGCGTAAGTCACAAAAATAAACACAACTGCAAAAAGGCATATACAGCCTCTTCTCTTTTCAAGCCTGCACACTTAGAAGCAAGCTAGTTTACCCATCATGAAATA